TTGTCAAAATGACTTTTAATTTATTTCAACATGGAGACCTTTTTTCTATTGTAGTGACCCCTTTTTTTTTACTAATAAAACAACCATAATTTCCTTGATGTTAGTGGTCCACGATAAATTAGTGTGAACCAGGTCCATTTAAGAATTTGTAGTGCTCAGTAGCAAAATTCTTGTTATTTTATCAATTATTTTAGAACAACGTTAAGTATTGATGTTTTTAAAAGTTAAATTCAAAATGATAACTAAAGACAAAACTCACACGTAATATACTTCCTCCGTTCTTTTTTTTATCGCATCACTTACTACTTTAGGAAGTTTACTTATTATTGCATCATTTCCTTTTTAGGATAAAAAATATCTATGTTCACACTGCAAATACTCAACATACCCTTACTTTTTCACACTTACTTTTTATTTTATCTTACATTACATGGACAATTTTGTATTTTTACGTTTCTCTCTCTTACTTTTTCCCACTACCAAATTTTGCCTCCAAAACCACTATGATGCAATAAAAAAAAACGGAGGAAGTATATTTTTTTTTTAATAGATTACACGTAATAGTTATTAAATTTTCCTTTATTTTTAATCATCATTCTCTATTTTCAAACACACATTTATTATTATCTTATTCTTGTCCCCCCCCCCCTTTTTTTTTTGTATTATTTGAAACATATGACTATTCTACTGTAAAATTAAACTTCTATTACTTTAAAAGTTTTTTCTCATCAAGATTCATTTTTTTTTTCAATGGATATGTAAAACAAAAAAGATTACATTGGAGTACGAAGTACCTAAAAGTATCATTAAGAATGTCCACGAACTTCTATTTGGCAGTATAAGATACCTTTGTAATATTACTTGTAATATTACTTCTTAATGACATTTCATACAATAATAATAATTACTACAAGTATACTCCATCCTTTTTTGTGATTTCAAGTTGTATTGGCAATATCCCAACCTATTGTCTCAAGCTTGAATTGAGCTTACAACTACAACAACAAAGCCTTATTCCGATTCATAAAGAATATGGTTGAGCTTATATTAAAATCGTACATTTGTAGTGATTCAAGGAGAATTGAATGGCATAAATACCAATCAAATAATATAAGAAATAGCAAATAAAAGAAAAAAAAAGGTGTTACCAGTTCTTTTGGGCTTGCCATCATCATCAAAGAGGTTGATCTTCATCATCACCATAAGAAAACTTGTTATCAACAACATCTTCTGTTCCTCTCATTTTATATTTCTTCCCTAAACTTTTAAAGCAAGGTTATTAGGTAAGTCCAATAATATACAAATATTTCGTAATATATTAGTTCAATAAAACCATTTTAAAGAAACTAGGAAGTATTTATTGTGGATTATAATGCATTGATCAATTATGCACGATACCTATATATTTTGCTCGTTGAGTGGGGACATAGAAGAGATTTGTAGCTCTTGCATGCGCACTCGATCTTGCTTGAGTAGATAACGTAGTAAGGTACGAATTCTCAACCAGTCATGGTGGAGGGTACGAACTTGGACACAAAAAACTAGTGACTAGAAATATGCCCTGGGTCGTTGCTTATAAGTTTATGTGCTACGTTACAACACGTGGAAATAATTGATAAACGAGTCTGGGCTATATCTGTTATCAGTGTCCATTATACAAGTCTAAGGAAGTTCTACTTTAAAATCATATGACAATGAGGGGAGTCACCCTATAGCATCATTATATATAAAGTGGATACAACTTTCTTGTTTTTTCAATTTAAGATACATTTTTCAATACTTTTACACTCTTTTAATGTGGGACAAAAACTTTCACTCACATGTGGCCTAGGTTAGTTCATGGGATCAAAATTGTTAAAGAACCAACTCAAAAAAAAGCTTAACCTGATGGTTGGAGCTTTGAATATGTTTAATAATATAAATCTATCACGCCCCCTCACATGAGAATTCTTTGGACTTGACATATGGATGCAACATGGGCCCTCCGCATATCTTGCGCGAAATATTTCACTTGAAAGCGAGGGTGAATGTGATTTTAATATGTGACATTTATGTCACGCATGGCCGGCCCTTATGGCTGTTGCTCAGGGTCCAAAATCTGATGGGCTCTCAAATTCTTGAATTTGACAATTTTGTTGCAAATATATTAAACTGCATAAAATTTGGCATAGTGGCAATACAACTATTCTATATGTTTCTTGGTCTAGTGTTCGAATCCTATGAGGCCTATATTTTTCTAAATTGCACAGGGCCTCCATATTTATTGGGACGACCCTGATGTCACGTTGGCTCTGATACAATGTTAAATGACCAACTCAATTAAAAATTTAAGGGCTTGTTTGGCATCATTTTTGGTTTTCAGTTTTCTGTTTTTTTTTAAAACTAAAAACCAAAAACAGGAAACAAAAAAAGGTGTTTCCACTTTTCTGTTGTCGGTTTTCAAAATTATTATGATTTGATAAGTCTAAATAACTTTTGATTCATTATGTGACATATATAATATACTTTTAAACAATAAAAAACCAAAAAACAGAAAACCACAGTGATGCCAAATGAACCCTAAGTTGATGGTTAATTAAAGCCTAGAAATATATTTTATATTCTATCAATATTAGATTATGAACAAAAAATATATTTATGTATATCTGGTTTATGATAATCCGTACATTGTAATAATTATTGAACACATTTACAGTAATATACTACGGAGTAATATTTAGTCATTTTAGGGTAACTGGGCTTTTTTTTTTTTTAACTTGAGGCAACTTTAAAGTCAACCTGATATGATTTTAATGTAAATAAATTGTAGGAAAGTTTTATAAAGCTAAGGTAATACACATACCTTCTGACAAGAGTAATACACATTAAACTACTCCATAATTTAAAGAGAGTAACTTTATTAATAAACATACGTAATTTTTATTTATATTAGTGTAGTTTTTTTTTTTTTAAAAAAAAAAACATTTTAAGGTATTTTTACAGCTAATGTAAATGTACACCTGTGTTTTTTATTTTATTTCTAAAATTTGTATTCAAAGAATTATTCAAGATAAAGCCGAACCTAACCTAACCTAATAGGGGCTTCTACAATGTACTTTAAGTTGGGCTTATACAAACTTACAATCTTAGTTTTATTCAATACTATACATATAAATATATAATTGGTATAAAATTTGATTATCAACCAAACAAGCTAGATGAAAAATTGAAAATGGTGATGAACTCACTATGTCATTTTAAGATTAGAATTTCGATTCAGTCTCCGTCAAAATAAAACAAGATTAGAAATTCGAATCATACTCTCAACCGTGGACCTTAAATATTTAAATAATATTTTTATTTAAATAAAAAGAATAAACGTTTTATAAACAACTAAAAACAAAACCATTTTAATCAATCATTGTATCCAAATTTGGAGGAATAAAATATAGTGGTCCTAAATCCTAATGGACCTTAGAAAATTCAAACTTTATAATTTTTTGTTTGCAGAAGTAAAATTTTTATATTTTTATAAAACAACAAAACCATTTTAATCAATCAATGTATCCAATTTTGAAGGGACAAATGTAATGTTACATTAAGAGGCCCACTAATATATGACTACCTCAGCTAAGAGACTTACAAAGGACCAAATGACCAACCTCTTCCAAATTCCATGGTCTTCAAAGATTTGTATCAAAAAAAAGTTATCATATTGTAAGCACAAAGTTGGTATAGTGGACTAGTACTCATGTCTTGGTCAAAAATTATTTCATTCCTTGAAGGATTTATTCAATTTACCCTTTTCTTGCTTCTTTTTTATCTACTTTATCTTTTGTGCTACTTTTATACCACATTTATTACGTAGTAGTAAGTCACGTATTCTCATTACTTTTGCATTTCTCATCATTTCATCGTTTTCCTATCACGGAAAAGCATAAATGAATGATTAATTTTCATCCCTGATGTTTAGGAGGTCACAAAAAGACATTGATGATATTGACAATACGAGTATAAGTTAACTCGTATTCAATTATTAAAGCCCCTCTCCCTTCAAAATAAATAGGGTTAATGTTATATGGGATATATATAAGCATTAAATATACTCTTAGAAATTGTATAAAATTAGAAATTCATGATAAAAAAAACACACGTAAATCAGTGTAAATAGTGTTTATATTTTCATAATTTTTTAACTATTTACAATTTTTAAGTGTAAATTTAATGCTTATATGTAGCCCTAAGGGCTATGTATAGCATCCTCAATAGACTTTATAAGATGGAAAGTTTTATACAAACAATATTTAATGTTTATGTTCGATTATTAAGATAGATCAATTGCAATTTGGGAATTACAAACTGGATATATTATGAAATAAAGAAGGTAATATTCTAAATACCAGCAACAACTAAAGAATTAACTGTGATAAGTTAGGGTATAGTCTTAAGAGAAGACTACGACCTTAACTTCTTGTTAACCTTTCTTTCAAAATAAATATTAAAATTAAAAATTAAGGGTTTGTTTGACACCGTTTTTTATTTTCAGTAATTTTTTAAAAAAAAAAAACAAAAAACAAAAAACAAAAAAAAGTAAACAAGAAAAAGTATTGTCAGCTTTCAAAATTATCTTGATTTTAATAAGTTTGGGTTATTTTGACTTTTACCACCTGCAAAAAAAACGAAAAATTTGCTTTACCACCTCCATAAAAAAAGGTTTTATATTACCATCACATAAAAAAAAAAAAAATTGGTTTTTACCATCAATTACCGCCAACTAACGGAATCCATCCATAAATCTGTTAGTGGAGCCTACCATGTCCACGTGTCACCAAACCCAATATTATGGTGATACATGGACATAATAGACCCCACTAACAGATTTTTGGACGGAATTCGTCAGTTGGCGGTGATTGATGGTAAAAGTCAACTTTTTTTTTTATGTGGTGGTAAAATAAAACTTTTTTTTATAGAGGTAGTAAAAGAAAATAAGTGGTTTTTTGGATATGGTAAAAATCAAATTTTTTATAAATTTGACTAATTTTTTATTCATTATATGATATATATCGTATGATTTTAAAAACCAAAGCGATACCAAACGAATCCTAAAGTTATTTTTTTTTTTAAAAAAAAAAACCTAAAGAATTGATTCAACTATAAACTGTGTTGCAAAATAAGAAAGTATTACTATCCAGAATTTCAAAATTTTATTACTCCCTCCGTCCCTAAATTACATTCCTGTTTCTAGCATTTATTCCTCACATAATAGAGCAAAACATGAATGTAATTTAGGGACGGAGGGAGTACGTAAATAACAATTAGATAACTATAGGGAAAGCTCATTTCTTTTTAAGTAGCATTATCTCATTTACAAACCCTCATCTTTAGTCAACACCTAAAAAGAAATACCAAAAAAAAAAAAAATAATAAAATAAAATAAAAAAAGGACTCCTACATTTTGAACTAATAAATCTAACTTTTAATAGTTCTAAAGATTAACTAAACACGTTTTATTAATCTTAATCCATTTGTGTCAAAAAAATCTTAATCCATCACTCTATCCTTAACGGGCCTGGGAGTGTGAGGTGGACTTGGATGAAGCCCAATGAGCATAGCATAGAGGGCCAACAGTCCTGGACTATGATAATAACTGCATGACAACAATCTGAGCCCAAACAAATAGGTTGTTGCATCATAGAATAACTTGAACTGTTGAACACCTCCCCTAAGCAAAATTAGAATTTGTTATATATACCTAGCTTACACCCAACTAACTTAAGGTTAGTTTTTGTTCTTCATTTGATGATAAAATAACAAACAATCATCAAATTGAAAACAAATACTCATGGGTGTATGGTACACTCGGATGTATATAACAACCTCTCGAGTAAAATTGGTTACGTCATATTAGATTTTTTTTTATTATTATTTTAAGTAAGAAATAAAATATTAGGAAGCCCGGATAATTTCATATTGTCATGTTGTTAGGTTTGATTTAGTACCAATAATTAGATGGTAGAGGCGTATATATTAGATACAAGACTTGTTATAACTTCGAAAAAAACCAAGTTTTATTACTTGGTATTTTATACTTTATATTGAAAAGGCTTGGACGTACGAAGACCTTGGCTAACCCCCTGGATAGACCCAGCAGCAGCAGCCAAGGAAACAAGCAAGCAGAGAAAATTAAGAAGTTGTAGCATACACCACTTCATTGACCGTCTTTTGATCTTTCTTTGAGCAATGTGCATCTCCACTGGGAAATATACAGTCAGTGGCCAAAATCCGATTGACCCGAGCAGCGAGAGGAAGTCGTTGAAGAAGGGAATTGCCATTGCTAATGTGGTTGCTAACACCACAAACATGGTCCTTGCAGTTAGCCTAAGTAAGTTTAGGCTTAACACTGTTTTGTTGCCAATTTTGATGGGGTACTCTGAGTTGACAAATATTGAGTTGGGCCATTTCTTCTGGGCCGATGACTCGATCAATAAGAATACAGGCTGAGTAAATATCTGGCCCATCATAGAAAATTTCAAGTTAAATACATATGTACCCATAAATTTTAATTCATAAATAAAACTCAAACTAGGTTGACATGTTAGAGGTTCCGGTTCGATAAGACTTTTCTCCTTACCTTTAAATAAAATAAAACCTAACGACTAAAGTTCTACTTCATAATGCAATTGCACCACATATATGGTGCACCCGAGAATATCAATTCCCAATTAAATACACATATTAGGAGAGTACCTAAAATACTATATGCAACTATGCAAGTGAGTTATATATCACTTATAACCGTGATTAATTGTTCAAAAAATTGTTGTTTTATACCTGATATGCGCCAGCTAAATGAATAACGATGAAGATGTTGGCCAAGTCTACTAGCCAAAAAGGCTCGTAAAACCCGAATCCAGTTAACATGTTACCAGGTGCATCATTCCCAAATGCAGCATAGCCTAAGGTACCACACAACATGTAAAATGTTGTGGTTGTGAACACTGATATTGCATTGGCCTTCTTCATCACCTTATTCTCTGGTGGTTCCGATTTGAGCGTATCCTAAGGTCATGTCACAGACTTTAGTAACTCATTGTTATATATTTTTGTACATAATCAGAAAAATGGACATAAGTTTTCATTGAAACATAGGTTAGATGCACAAAAAATCACCTGTATTTCAACAAGGACTGCAGAGAAACTGTATGTAAACGCGATATCTCCAAGGGCTCTACATGTCCTCCATACTTTATCAGCAACTGTTACATCTATTCCTACCTCCACTCCAGTTAAAGTTGTCCTCCCTCCTTTGCCTACCCAATCAAATTAATGTAATCAGTCACTGAATTTTCAATTAGCTATTAGCTTATCGCGCTATTACAGGTAGATTAATTACCTGAGATGATCCTGGCAAGAGCAAGTCCAATGCCTATTGAGGAATACCCAAAAGACATAATCGCGGCAACAGTTGACAAATATGTGAGCTTATGAAAGTTAGGAATTTGTGACAAAAATATCTCAAATGTTCCCAAACCAATCATATAAGGATTATTGCTGAACTTGCAAGAAGCAGAATGGCCTTTGCTGTGGAAACAGTTAGACTTGTGCACTGCCCTGTAAATTAAAATTTTCGACAATGAACATAAATTAGCTAGCTTGATGCAACTACATACACTTTTAACGTGCATTCAATTGATTCAAAAACTAAGATTGAACTCGAATAGATGGACTTACACCATGCTTATTGATGCAGTAATTGTGTAACCAATTACCATTCCACTTAAATTGGCATACTGCACTATCCCACAAGCAATGCAGTTTACTCTGCCTAAAATTGATCAAAAACTTAAGGTCATTCAGGGAAAAAAAAATCAGATGAACTAAGGTCATACGCGCTATATATAACCCATGTAGATTCATGGTACCTAAATTGGCGCGAACCTCTTCCATATATGAATGATTTCTTTTTCCAGTGACAGAATCAGGGAATCTGTAACAATCTGCTAGGAGATTTGAAGTATAGTACGTGATAAACGAAAACGTTACTAGTGTTACGAGTCCCCCTGCCCATCCAAGCTGTGCCGTGCCCCATGCTAGTGAAAGAACTCCAGATCCTATGATTGCTGTTATAATGTGTGCACTTGCTGTCCATATAGTCCCTGCAAAATTATCAAATAGCTATATCAAAATGTTGGTTTTTATTAACCTAGGTCGCCCTAAGTAATTACTAGGAAACGAACACATTTTACATGAGTAAGACTTTGTTTTAGGAAATTTTACTTCTAAAGTTCAACCAAACGATTAACTATTAGAACATGTGACTGACTATTTTATTCCATATTTTTTACAAAGTACTTCATTTAAAATTTCCACGGAATTACAATTAATTGGTCGTGTATCAGTTGCCTATATAAAATATGTAATTTTTTTTTCTTTCTTTTTCAAGTTTTTGATCACTCCCAAACCCATTACAACAACGACGACGATAACAATGACGACAATGCCTGATACAAGAAGGGCCTAAATTCCCAATCAAATAATAAATAGGGAAAAGAAAAAAAAAAGTATTACCAGTTCTTTTGGGATTGCCATCATCATCAAATAGTTGATCTTCATCACCATCAGAAAACTTGTAATCAACAACATCTTCTGTACCTCTCATTTTATATTTCTTCCCTAAACTCTTAAAACAATATAATTAGGTAAGTCCAATTATATATTTGGTGCTACATACAAGTATATAGTTCAATAAAATCGTATTTAAGAATATATAAGTATTGTGGATGTTATGCATTGATGATTGAACTATCATGTACTATGCCTGTTTCGCCCGTGGGGTGGGACCATATATAGCTCTTGCACTCATGCTTAAGTAAATACCAAGTAACTTGGTAAGGTACGATTTCTCAATTAGTCATGATGTAGTCTACAAATTAGGATAATAACGATTGACTATATATGCCCCGAGTTGTTGCTGTGATCAATGTATGTGGCGTGTTACAAACTTACAACATTGTTACGATCGTTTTTTATAAGTAGTTTCAATTTGACGTGGAAATATATATATACTCGTATTTATACAAGGTTAAAAGAGGAATTGTCGTTACTTTATATATTAAGTACGTATTGGGGCTTAAAAATCGTATAAAGTTTCTATGTGTTGCATGTTAATTTGGGTTTATACATTAATACATATTACAATCGATATAAATTAAATTCAATATTATTACATAACTATATAGAATTGGAAAATCAAGCAAGTAAAGTTGTTAAAAAACTTAAAATGGTGAGAAACTTAACATGCATGTAATTTTAAGACTACAAGTTTGGGTCATGCTATGAGACATTATAAATCTAAGAAAATTTAATTTATGCATTTTGTAAAACAATAAGATCATATTAATCAATCATTGTATACATCAATTTTGTAGAGGCAAGTGTGAAATGACTACCTAGTACAGGACCTACCCCTTCCAAATCGTTGTCTTTAAGATAACCAAAAACAGTTAATTTTCATAATTTAAGCACAAATTTGGTGGTAGACTAGTAGTCTTGTCTTGTTCAAGAGATTAATTATTTCAAACTTTGAAGGGTCTGTTCAATGTCCCCTTTTCTTTCCTTCTCTTTTCAATCACTTTATCTTTTGCTTTTAGATTTGTTTTCGCTAATAATTTGAATGACTTTAATCCCACTTTTGTAAATTAAGCATTCACATTACTTTTGATTGTCTCATCTCTTTCCTATTACAGAAAAGTGAACAATTTTTTCTACTCGTGTTTAGGGCTGGCAATTCCTAACCCGATCCGAACCCGACCTGAAGTTACTGAGAGAAACCCGAACCCGACCTGACCCGAACCCGAACAACCCGAATTCGACCCGATTTGACCAAAATGTCATATATCTTTATAATATTAAGTTTTAAACTATTTTTGATAATTTTAAGCACAACCCGAAATTGACCTGAAATCTGACCGAACCCGACCCGCTGACCCGAATTGCCACCCCTACTCGTGTGTTCAAGAAGTTGCAAAAGACAATGATACATATGTATGATATACGATATTAAATTTTAATTACAAAGTCCCCTCAAAAAGACTTAATTCGTATTATTCAGGGTAACTTGAACATAATCCGCACAAGAGAACATTTTTTTTATCAAGCATGAAATAATAATATGAATTAAATAATACTCAAGTAAAAATAAAACACAAAAACTAAAGAGATTGACTAAAACTTTCAAATAGTGAAGATCAAAATTTTATTATGCAAATAACAAAGATCATTTCTTTGTAAGTAGCCTTACCAAACATACCCTCATCCTTAGTCAATACCTAAAAAAGAAACACCAAGAAAAACCTTACTCAAAAAGGATTCAGACTTTTTAAACCAAATACAAACTAATTATCAAAGATTAATAACTAAACATGATTAGTTAATCTTAATCCATCACTCCATCCTTAACGGGCCCGGGAGCGTGAGGTGGGCTTGGAGGTTTTGGGCTTGGATTGTTCTCTTCAGCATCACAATAGCCCTTAAGAATATCACCCTCCTCAGCAGTGAAGCCCAATGAGCCTAGCATAGTAGGCCAACAATCTTGGACTATGATAATGATTGCATGACAACAACCAAATATGTTTTTCCATCATAGAAAAACTGGAACACCTCCCCTGAGCAAGACTGGAGCTTGAACAAGGACTCCCAACAGCTCGTCGAATGGCCTGCCAAGCTTAGTCGAGCCACTAACGTGCTCGACTCAGTAGGACTAAGATCAACAAGCATAGGACGTGCTTTAGTCCTTGTTCAAGAGCATATTGTTAGCACTACCACTATTGTGGTGAGGATTCTTAGAGACTGTGCCATGGTATGTGTTTGTACACGCGCGCTTGTGTGTGTGTGTGTGTGTGTGTGTGTGTGAGTTAAGATAGAGAGAGGTGTGAAGAATTATGGAGTGCAAGGGGTTGGTATTTATAGGGTGTTTTAAGGTAGCTTAGTCAGTTAAGAATTACAGTTACGTTAACATGGAAGAGGAAGTGAAAGGGTGTTGATTAATTTGCAATGAAGTCATATTTGCATATAAATGTATGTAGTTAACCATTAGTAGATGGAATTATTTTTGTGAAATGAAACGTTTAGTTTGATTAAATGCAACTGAACTCTCTTAAACCAGAGTAATTGCATGTCAATAACTCAATATTGTACTACCTTGGCTAATTTGATTTGATACAAATATGTAATTTGTTTAAACTTTAAAAATCAAGTTTATACTTCCTAGATTATAGCTAAAGATTTTTTTATCAAATACATATACTAGGAAAAAAAAAAGTACAACAATATAAACACCTGAAGAATTATAAATCTTTAGCTATAATCTACGAAGTATAAATCCTTGTAACTTGACAAAATGAAACACTGGTTTTTGGTAAAATCGTCAGTTAAATTAGTTACATTGAGCCTAAGGACATACAAAGTATAGAGTATTAGCCACAAAACTGTTACAGAAAGTAAAAGAAAAATTAGGATGTCCAGTACTAGTAGAAAGTTAGAAACTACCAAGTACAAACGCCTACAGGTGGACTTCTTTGCATTGTGCTGTATTTGACATTTGCTGCAGATTGACAGAGGTGAGCTTTCAGCGATGAGCTAGTGATGAATTATGTACAGATTACACATCTAATGTCATTCCATGTTTCTATTCTGAGTAGATTATTCTGATATATCTTCCAGCTGATGAGATAATTGAACATCTGGAGCCTCCTCAATCTCCTCGTCAGGCTAAGCAAAGTGTAGTGATATTAAAAGACTGATGTCAAAACAACCAAAATTCAAACACGACATTGGAGGTGAGTAACTACCTGCCATAGTTTCAACAGACACCAAAACAGATAATTGATAATCATAACCAAGCAGAAAAGCTTGCCTGCCCATGCACCACAAGCCAGGTACCTGTTTAATTTTAAATCAATCAGAAGAAAAAGAAACAATTTTCTTTGACTTTATCTTGCAATCTGGCAAAAGGACTATAAAGATAGCAGACTGAAATGATCCAAAATAAAAAAGAGAGATACATCGTAACATCAACATCAATTGGGCTCAGGATAATGCATTTGCAACATCTGATCATTTCTTTAGTCAAGCATAGAGGACTATGGCAATATTACAGATGCAATCACAACAGACTTTGATCTCCAAATTAAGAAGATGCAGCACTCTTTCATCTAGGTTCCCACCATGCAAATGATGATTTTCTGCTCTCTTTTGTTTAAAATAGACTGAATTAACAGCACAGAATTCAAACATGAAAAAGATACTGAGCAAACCAGTCATTAATGTCTTTCAATGGTTTAGTTTACATGCTACCTTTGAAGCATGCGTAAGCATTACCTTGAAAGCCGTTCAAGAAGATTCTGATCAGCACACTTCAGAGCCCGCTCATAGACTCTCTCTGTTCTCTTGGCAACATCATGCCAGCTATATAGCCCTTTCATCTAGCAGCAGCAGGAAATAATTACATCAGCCGAGAGAAAAGAAGGAACCGGGGGAGGAGGGGGGAACTTATATAATTGTATAAATTATTATACTCACTCGAAGGTGCATAACTTGCGGATCAATGTTAGGGAGCATGGTTATCGCCTTTCCAACAGCTTGCACCATAACTCTAGGGTCTGGTTCTGCAAGTACGATCATGTCATCTGGCAAAACCTAATAAGTAAAATGTGGAAATTTGCACGGGTAATGAAACATTAATCATACATCCATACCAAGTATTTAGACCACACATATATATCTCTTCAAAGTAAAAATAAATAAATAAATTGATTTACAGACAAAGGCTGGTTAAAAGGGGGGGATGATAAACATGAGGGGAGATGCAGACTGATGCATAAAAAAACTCATAAAACTTGCCTCAGGGACACCTCCTACACGTGTGCTGACTGTTAATAATCCACAACTAGCTGCTTCCAATATAGCTATGCAAAATGCTTCGGTTAATGAGCTGTCCAGAAATTCAAAGCAGAGAAATAAGATGGTGGAAAACACTAAAACAACCATGGATGTTAGAACATCAATAAGATCAAAACAACTGCAGAAGAGTAAAGAAAACAGGAAGCTTCAAAACTTAAGCATTAGTTCTCACTTGCTTCATTTACATATATGGGAACTAAAAGATACTAAATCTATTAAGTTCTATGATAAAGGGCTTCAAGATTTTTCATAAGGCTCTAGCCTTCACTATGGGTAAGCCTTAACTTTACCAGCACAAAAAGGGTCAGCACAAACCACATTACTGCAAACAAATCAAATGAAATAAACAAGGTTCCTTGATTGACTTTTACTCTGGTAAATCAGTAAAACGCATTACTTAGAAACAAGGTGTTGGCTAAAAAGGGAATTTTCAACCAATCTTGCAAAATTAATCAAATACTTAAAGTTATTAGGGACATCTAAGTCCAACCACTTCTGAAATTCTCCAATCGAATTAGAAGAATAACTCAAATTTTAAGCACTTAACTATTTACTTCCACAATATGTAGATTACCAAATAAAATACTTGTTTGAGCCTCAGAAACCCATGAAGAGTAAGCGGATTATTTCCTCAGCAAACAACTCATCAAGTGTAGCTAAGGTAGACGAGTTTAATCAACTATAGTCCAAAGCTTGATCTGTTGGAAGAAAGACAACTGCCATCTATCTACTCATGATTCTCATATTAAACTCAAATGTAAATTTTTAACCCATTTGAACGCCAGTCTCCATTTGTTAAATGAAATCAAGCAACAATTGAAATGTTTGATTAACCCAAATATAAGAAAACCAGCTGTTAGGAAAAATCCTGAAAATAAGAGGCCATCAAGAAATTTAACACTTCCTCGAATTCTAAGTAGAGTCTAGAGTACAAAAGCAAGTAAATCCTCCAAATAAAGTGGAATTTTTCTCACCCTCTTATTCTAAAGGAGACAAAAGTTACCTGTTTAAGAAAATATGTCCAGAGATTAACACAGATCGAACTTGAGAATGTGGAACGGCACCCAACATTTCAACCCTATCCTGAAGAGAATGTTTTTCTCGCATCTCTTCTAGCCGTACTCTTTTTGGGCCATCACCTCCAACAATGAAACGAACCTGACATGATCAGTTCATAACAATTGTTAATAGTAAAAATCAAAGATGTAAACCAAATGAATTATGTAACTAATATCTATGCATGAAATTATTCCAAACAAAGTGATTGAGATAAGTTCTGACCTAGGAGGACAAACACTAATACTAATTCCAAACATATAAAAAAATTTCATATTACTAACATTGGGATGTAGACGACAAACTTCAGGAATGACTTCAACAAGCAAATCTGCACCTTTTCGGTATACCAATCTACTTATCACAACAATGACAATTTGGTCTCTTGAAAGTCGTTCGGGTGCAGGCTTAAACATAGCAGTGTCAACAGCATTTGGTACCACATATACCTTTTCAGCAGGAATACCTGACCTTAGCACTGTATTTTCCTTGCTTGTATGGGAGACACAAATTGCTTTAGTTGCATCTGCCAAGGTAAATTGTAGGACTTTGTTCATGTGTATACTACCGACATCAGCAAATCCATACAAGGAGTGATCAGTAAAAACAACTTTGTATCCCATAGTGCGTGCATGCATTAGAGCTTCATGGCAGAAAGTTGAAAAGGCTTGATGTCCATGGACCAGTGAAATCTTCTCTCGGACAAAAATAGTTCTCATAATAGGAAGTGTACCAGAGAACGTGGGCAATACACTCTGCATGAATAAAGGCTTCCATGGAACATAATAAACCTTCAAACCATTCGTCATATATCTCACCCCAGAGCGATTTCCATATGAATGAGTCAAAACTACAACCTACACATTTTCCAAAATCCAATAAAAATGTTTAGTCACACGCTAAAGAAATCCCATTACAATCCTATCAACCAACTAAGCCAACTTGAACCTTCAATAGTTTCCCATCCAAAAGAAATATCAAATCAAGAGTTCCACCATTTTGCATAAAACTTGGGCCAACATGTAAGAAAACATCCACCAATCAGGAGAAAAACACAGTAAAAATTTGATAATCTCTACTCTATAGTTACTACCGATACTGCCTACTAACAATCCTGTATAAAGTAAGCAAAACGAAGTAACTAACACGATATCCAAGAATTTCACTACTTTCATATGACTACTCTACCAGCATAACTGATAAGAAAACCACAAACAATAATGTTTCGCTTACCTTGTGACCAAGCTTAAGCAAACACTGAGATAGATAATAAATGTGACTTTCAACTCCCCCAAAATTTGGGTAGAAAAAATCAGACACCATCAATATCCTATGCTTACTTTTTTCCTCCATTGAACAATCTGCAATGCAAGCAAACAAGATATGAAATAATACACAACTTTCTTGAGTATCAGAGAAAGAGCCCAACTACAGGAATGTGTAAAGCAGTATAATCGACTTCGAAAACCGAAAATTCCAATATAATGAACACTACTCAGATGCTATAAAGTTACAGCAAAAACTAAAATTAGCTAAGAACTGATAATAAGAGTGTGTAAATTGGTAATATATGAAAACCCAGAAATCCATAAGAATGAGATTCTATCAAGCTGCAACAGATACTGCAATTAGCTAAAAACTAAGACTACATCTGATTTTCTCTTCCATCAACATTAAAAATCCACATTCAATTAATCACCCAATTCAAACTAAATGCTGAAAATTGAGCTTTTAGAAAGAAATTTTAATACTTGCTTCAAAATATGTAAAATTCTGATCAAATTTAGAATAAATTTAAGAGCCCTAATTAGAAAACAACTTGATCAAACTTACCCATTTGATGGTGAATCAAATTTAGAATAAATTGAGATTTTTTTTTTTTTTCTAAAGCTAAAAAAATCCTCCTCAATTCTCACACGAAAAATTCCTAATGTAAGAGCCTTAAAATGCTTGGCAAGATCCCTTCCAAAAAAAAAAAAAAAAAAAAAAAAGCTTGGCAAGATTATCGAAACTTGTATTTTTCTCCTTTAATATTACTCATAATAAGTAAAAAAGGAAAAAAAAAAAAAAAAAAAAAAAACTAATGCAAAGGGATTGGAAAAAAAAAATCCACTTTAAGTTTTTAGAGTAAACACAAAACATTAAGCCAATATGAAATATTGGTGCCCTAAAAGTGAACATACTCCTTTTGGTTTTTCTTAATACTCGTACATCAATTTAACCGGTATATGATTTTAGAATGGTGAGTTGAATGGAATAAAATACTACGTATTATGTAAGTGCGGTTTGTTGAAAAATTAAAAATTAACTGGTTGAAAAGAAATTGAGAGAAAATAAGTAAGGGATGTAAGAAGAGAGAAATAATAATTACAAAAATTAAGTGTGTGATACCATATAATGAGAGGTTATAATAAAATACCGAGCTGGGATGAGAATGTCTAACTAGGTGGTATATAACCTCCCTTTTTTTTTTGTTCTTGAAGAATTTGAGGGTGTAAGATTAAGTAAGAAAAAGTATGTAAAAGGCGAGTTTGTAAGGAAAAAGTGAAAAAAGTAATACATGGAGTATGGAAAGGTGTAGTTATATGGGGTTAAATGGATAAGATGGTAAAAGAAATATGTCACAAATAGAATAAAACAAAGTGAGCAGAATATTAGAGAACGACCTACAATAGATAGTGGTAGAAGTCGTAGAACAAAAAAGAACAAGGGATTAAATTAATACAAGCATGCAAATGCTAATCTTTTTTTTTTTTTTTTTTTTTTTTTTTTTTTTTTTGACATTGCAAATGCTAATCTTAATATATGCAAGAAGAACAATAAGAATACTTAATGAAACAATTTTAACTAGTGATTAAAATTGGGCAATGTCTTGGATAGTGGACACTTTTTAAAAAATTTAACTACTCATATTGATTATCGCGGGCAATGCCTTAAATTCTTATATTCGAAGTATACAAATACATATTGGCACCATATCATAATAAATGATAATTGCATGATATTTAAGATAAAATTTTCTAAAAAAAACATAGGAAAAATACCTATAATCTCGATTTTGATTTTTTTTTTTTTTTTGGTTAATTTAATATTTATAACAATTCATATCATTAAATTCAAAAATTCCCAAAAGGAACACACACTACTAGTACTAAGGTATGTAAATATCAAACAACGCAACAAACTATAATTTTGGATTTAGGGTTGAGATCCATGATCAATGGTATGGAGGTTTATTATTTTCCATATACTTGTTCATGTAGAGTAGATTATATTCGTTCTCCAGGACCATCCTTCTTATGAGAACTATTTTCGCCCGGGAGAAGATTTCATCAGTCTATGCAATAGACATCATCAACTCTCTGCTATGAAGGCGATGAAGCTCTAATGCATGAGCATAATATGGGATACAAAGTATACTTTCTCAAAGTGGCAAATATCTATTTCCCAACAAAAGTGAACAAGTCTTCAACAAAATACACAAAAGTGCAAATTTTCAACACTGCTATGCACATTCCGTGCTACATGCAGCATAAGATGAGTAGCAAGAGACGTGCTAACCGCATTACAAACTATCACTCAAAGTACATTCGATCACATACATGCACTTTGAACGTTCACACTATACTTATAAGTTCTAACAAAGGAATGAATGACCCCTTATGTAACACTCAATCAGCTGAAAACAAATCTGCATTCATCTTCTGCTGTATTGGTGTATATATAATTGCGCTGCTAAGTCATAGGAGACAACAAACATATCATGTATATACAACTTCTACAACTATATTTAGCACAACATTATTACTGAATACTATGTATGTAATAACATGTGTATCTCAACAACAGATGCGAGGTGCGTGCGTTCCTAAGTCCCTCCAGCTGAGCTCAACAGCTGAAAATAAGTCTCAAGTTTCTTTCTCAACATCACATGTTCTTGCTTTATCATCTGAAAAGTCTTGACACACCTACAAACGCATTGAATCCATTAAATCATTGCAGTTGAGATTAACTCAACTTTACAGGAAAAGAATTAGTAAATGTAGTGTGATTGGGATTTTATTGTACCCTTCTGCTATTCCTGCTGCACAATATTTCCTGAACTGTGAGCATTCGAGTACTACTTTCTTAGCTCCAATACTGCAAAATTTGCAAATATGAATTATATTCACTTTTTCGTTTATTGATTTCTCCTAACAAGTACATCAGTCAATAAGCAGGAAAATACTTGGAAAATAAAATATGGCTCAGCTAAACGCCTAAACATGATCTTCAATTCTGCTATGTATATTTCAATACAGACCTCCATTTCATATATAAAATAAGTCAATTCTAAGCTGAGTCATAAGTTCAACTAAACAATTCATACCTTGAGCTACTGCCCTTAAACTGGTGCATGTAGTTGTCCAGCTTCTCAAAATCAAATGGATATTTCGCACTGTATGAATTTATCAATCAATATGCTGTACAAAGACTGAAGCCAGTATTAGATCGTTGGTCAGGTAAGAGTATACTCACAGTGCTTGGTCGATATTTTGGATCAGTCTAACTGAATCAATGTAATATGAGGTTACAATCTCCTCAACAAAATCAGGGTTGGCATCATCCTGTAATTCCTCTAGTTGAATAAATTACTCATCAAGATATCCCTGCAACATTTGCATCAAACTTTCAAACTACTAATCAAGAATTCATGACTGGTAGTGGCAAAGCTGCATGCATCTGGCCGCCTCAGACGATATGACCCTACCAAGTCCCAACAATGTGACCAACAAAGGAAGTGAAATTTAAACTGCAGATCAAACCAAAATATTTCTAATAGATTTTGAACAACTTTCGAGTTTGAGGTGTCTCACCCACAAATTATCTACACACTACCCTAGCTTCCTCTTAAAGTAGTCAATCATTCACATGTCAAGTGCATTCATCTTAAATTTCGTTAATAAATTAACTTTCATACACTTGCACAATGAAGAAATTCCTTGAGAAATATAAACTCAAGTTATTACTTAAATACAGCTTGTCTCCATAGTGTGTATAAACTCTGCCATCTTTCTAATTAATGAGTTTCAATGATTTAACATTACCCTCAAGTTCAGATATTACACTATAATTTCCAATTTTTCAAAAAATCAGAATGCAGAAACAGCGATGACTCCATAGTGATCCAAGCAATGATGTCCAGCCCTTCAAGTAGGGGATCTCTTGATCCATCATTTCTTTTAAAAGACAGATGTTTGTGAAAAGAACCAATAGCTATAAGTATCAGATGCATATAAGAATAGAATTATAGAAACACTAAACCTGCTCAAATAGAGACCGCCTAAATTGCACAATTTGCTCTTGCAAAGACCGAGTATCCATTCTAGATATATATAGTTGAACACAGGTCTCAACGGACATGCCTTATAAGCTAATTGATACTAGGCACGGATTGTCTAAACACATCAAAGAGCTAAGAGTATTTATAATAGTTATGATTCTTCAGCATGCAGTCAGAGATGCAAGATTTTGCTTTCTGGCTGAGAATATGAATAGACAGCAGTCAATATCCTTATCCTAATGAACAACCAAGCAGATTCTTTTGTACCCACGTTACAATAGCCTTGAAATTGGAATCTTCTTTTGCACTTCTATCATTTCCTTACACCTATAGATGGATAAGTACATTCAAGTAGAGGAGAAATAAAAAAAAAGAGGAATTAAAAGCAAGATTTGAAAGACTTGGGTGAATGTTAGGACAATTCTTTCACATTAAAAGAAGAGGGAACTTATCAAACGTGGATACAGGGCTGCCTTATTCTCTCATGAGATATTTTTCAGTAAAAATCATCTTAGGAAGGGTTTAGACACCATCATTATGCTATAAAATCTATTGGACACAATTAGGCATTTCCTTTTCTATGTCACAACTGAGAAATGTGATGTAAGCAGAGTAAAGACTTCAAGTGATTTCCGTCCAACAGCCTAACAGGCGGTTAGAGCTAGACTAGAGAAGCACAGCAAATGACAACTCCAAAACTGAAAAATTAAAGTGATCATACAAATTAGAGGAACAAAAATGAGAAAACCAGTTAGTGTTTAATCATAGAAGGGCTGGCTCAAGTTTGATCCTTTGTGTCTAACCTATGTGGCTATGTATAGAAGTCCATAATACTTAGAAACTAAAACAGCCTTACTTTAACATTCTCATTAAACATAACAAATCTCTGTCGTTTCATTGATGGGGTTTCATAAACTTGAGACTGAATACATATGTACAGTAAAATCATTATGCACACCATATTAAACCCAGGAGAATCCAAGCAGACAATGAATGTTAATACAAAGACAAATGAAAAGGTGGAAGAACCAATAAAAAAAAAGTGCAACATTATACTAAGTTTATAAAGGGATAGTGAACAAGAACAGCCAATTTTAACAATCCAAAGGGGAAATGGGGAATGGATGATAGTCATTGTAAAGCAAAGTAATATTAGAAAGTAAAATCATTATAATGTTCTGAGGATGCTTCTGTATTCTGCTTTGTATTTTACGAAATGCTTATTTACATTAATTCTAAAAAATTCTAAGATTGAAGTATATGGTTACAAATTAGAAGTTCTTATCTTATTCCACTAGGAACCAGGAAAAGAAAATGCACCCAACTCCGACTGAAATGTTACTATCAAAGAATAAGATCCAATACAAACAGTGGCTTGCCATTTTGATGTTGGTAATGGTAAGTAGTATCACAGCTTTTGATCATATCTAAAGGCCATCCCCTCTGTTCAGCAGGACCTAAAAGGCTAAAATACCTCCACATGGATTCCAAATGTTCTAAGATAAGTTTCATTAAGCTCATTTATAAAGTGCCCACAAATAGAAATCATGGAAAACTAACCAACGTGCTAAGGCTGGTCTTTCTAACTCATGACATGATTGTAGTTGTTCATTTAACTACATGTATTCATTGTAATCCAAGCTCACAACATGAGTGTACAGTTCAGATATATAATTATACGTGCTTCAATACCATCATCTCCAATAGAATGTCTAACTGGTTATTGGCCCGGATGATGTCCCGGGTTCTTATAATATAACATTACAATCGTCAATAAGTATTTGATTTAAATGGATTGGAAATATAGTAATTTGATACTACTACTACTACTACTACTACTACAACAACAACAACATTGCATGAACCAAACTCTAAAGAAATTTCTG